CTGAATGCCTTGAGTCAGTCTTTGCCTCAATCTCAGAACAAAATTCTGAACACAAAACACCACTGTACTTGTCTCTAAAACAAGCCAGAAAACAGACAAAGAATGATTTAGGAGTTTACATGACAGTTTGGTGTACACAACCTACCTCAGCTCTGTGCTAATCAGCAGCAGTACCTGTATACCAAACAGAGACTGATAAAATCTCTATACTGCTGACCATGATCAAGTGTGGCAGCCAGATTTGATTATAAAAAACTGAAGCATCTGTAAAGGAAAAGTGTTAAGGGGTTCTTTATCCTAGCAAAACTGCTCAGAGTGAAAAGGCCTGCATTTACCTTGGAGAGGATTCCTTTAAAAACAATCTTTGAATATAGCTAGGAGCTAGAATACATTGACTAGTAGAGGTCAGGTTGCTACAGCAATTATGTGGATTCTAGAGCCTGTCTGCCAGATGTACCAAGGCAGAGCAACTTTTCTGAAATAGCCTTGATAATGGGTTTCTAAGGGAGGCAGCCTCTTGAAAGCAAAGTGTTCTGATGCCATTTACTAAGGTGTACCACAAAAAGACGGGAAGGCATTAGAAAAGAAAACATAACATATGTTAATCATCTGCAATTCAATCACTTTTCTGTATAGCTAGGAAATGAATAATTTTGTGTAATGCTGAGCACAAGGCTGTGACTCTTTGTAGATAGTCCTTGAACTGAAACAATAAAGAAAGCAGCATGCTGTTTGTCATTCTACTGCAGCCCTCATGAGAGTCAAAATAAGCTTTAGGAGAGATCATGTCTAATTTTCAGACCTGACTGAGAGCAAAGAGCCTAAAGAATTTCCCTATGGATGAATCATCCATAGTAAATTCATGTTATTTCTCAGGCAAGACCCAATGTCCAACCCTGATCCAGAACCATAGCACTGTGGGAAGGTTTGGATGTCACATAACTGTGGATGGAGATGTGCTTATCAAGAATACGCCATCTCCTAAGTAGACACCAAAATAAGCAGTTCCAGAGAGCACATGGATTTATTTTACAGACATGGAGTATAACTTTCCCAAAGCCATGGGCAATCCCATGTATAAAGCTTGTATCTTTCCTGCTATGGGATGATAGAAGGGAGTGGGGGCCAAACATCTACTCCCGTTTGCGAACTATCTCTGTTGAAACTCCCAGCCGATACAGATAGGTTCCACTGGCTTCTCATGAACTGTGGCTGCTGGAGGACTCACAAGCTACTCAGGAGGATACCATGTAAACCCATGAACAGATTTTTAGCTCTTTTATTTGGTGCATATCAACACTCACAAGGGGTGGAGGCACTGGTATAAACAACCACTGCCAAGGACAGCTCTCCTCACCTCAGCCAAGGCTGGAGCTATATCCCTTTGGTGACAGGCATCATTTTAGCTCATTTGCCACAGCTGAAAAACTTTAAAAAATATGTAAAAAGGTGAGAAATTTAAATTTAAACTGTGTTTGTTTATAAGCTGAGCAAATAGCAATATTATTTACTGTGTCCCCAAATCCCTGTTAATCAGCACACAGACAGCTGTATCTAAGCCCTTTCTCTTCACACACACTATCAACTCCTCTCTCTTGGTCTTGGCATCATTTGCTATGTCTACTCCATTACACCTGCTAGAAATTTTTGAAAAGGAAAGTTTGAAAAAGACAGAAATTTAAAAACAAAATTTCACTAATATACCTTCCTCAATAGAACAATGAGGGAAGCTCACATAGATATATTATAAAAATGTAAATAGAAGAGGTTCATAGTTTGGCAGAAATTCCGTTACTGAGTCTGCATATAAATGCAGGAGTTCTGAAACCAGCCTGGTGTGTGTATGCATACATGCATATCAGCTGAAAAAAATCAGCTATGCCTCCCCGCCTTCCCAAAGCAGAGCTGGCCCTTGATGCATGGCCACCACACATCATCCCCCAAGCAGGGAGCCAGCATGGCAGAGGAGAGTCCAGATTCATCCTGGCAAGTGGTAGAAATGCTCCAAAAGAGAGAAGGATACAGCAGGAACAAACACGCAAAGCATGACACAGAGGCAGGAGGACATCAGCTGGGGAGGAGCTGCTGGGTGGCAGCTCGGCAGAGTGTGGGCTGGGGCTCACGCAGCTCACAAGCACAGCATGAGCCCATGGTGTTTGTCTGGCACAAGAAAGGTGTACAGTATACAAAGATATATAAGCACAATGACATAATTTTTTCTTCAGTTTCTGTCAGACTCTTGTATGCACTGCTGGAAAGCAAGGGCCTGAGGCAAATAAGAGACCAACAGGGCACAACACAGGAGAACACCACAAGTGGTCTCGAAAACATATCCTCCAACTCCAGGTCACTAGCTGTTTTCCCTTAGAAAGAAAATACTTAGGGGAGAGGACGAAGAGGTGACAGCAGCCTTGAGTTCATGAAAACAGCAAAGAAAGGAGCAGTCAGTTCTCCACGTCTGCAGGAGATCAGACAAAAGGAATCAGATTTAAATTATACAAGAAAAATAGCTAGATAAGCAACAGGAAAACTGTGAGAGGAAGTCTTTAAGACAAATACCCCTGAGTTTGAGATCAGGTCGTATGGGACTTTTAGCAATCTGGTCCAGTGAAAAGTGTCCTGCCCATGGTAGGAGGATAGAACCAGATGATCTTTAATGTCCCTTTCAACTCAAACTGTTTATGTTTCTATGAAGAACATCCCACCCTAAGACTAGCTACAATATATTGCAGCAAATACAACATTCAGAAAGCACAGACATTGTAAAATACATATACATAAACATAGCAAATACCAATAAGTATATGATAGTTATGTAAAGCATCAACTGATGTCCAGAAAAGGCACTTGGCTCAAGTCTCAACTGCAGTGTTATTTTTGTGAGGATCAGAGCTCAAATTCACAAGCTAGAAAGGACATTAAGATACACTTAGTTCATTTCCAGGGGGAATCGGATACAAAACTCTTTCCACTTAAAATCTCACATCCTTTCCCCCTCTGATTTTCCTTTTGCTCTCTAGTAACCTTTGTCTATGAATGCTGAAAGCGTAGAGACAGTACCTAAAATATTCTGAGGTGCACACACTCCTACTAGATACAGGCAAATGAGAGTGCCCAGTATACTTGCAGAAGACCTGTGACACACGAGGAAATAGTCATGTCAAACCAAGACCCTTTCTCAATTTCTGCAGAGAGTGTTGGCTCACATCCAGTTCAGAGTAGCTAAAAGTCATTTCTCTCTGATGTTGTTTAAAAACCTAAATGCAATGAAATACTAGTCTGAGTCCATTTCCCAGTGAGCAAAAGTGTCAAAAAGCCGCCACCAGAGCTGGATCTAATTGGCAGTCCCAGTAAGGAAGAGAGGAAATAAATAGTGAAACACAATACCCTGCCTCTTGTGGCACTTGTTACAAAACTTTCTACAGCAGTTGCTCCAACTTTTGGGGCACTGAATTTAATTTCTTTCCCATACACATCCAAACCCCACATGCACTTGTGTGGTTAACCAGACATCTCACTGACATGTTCTGCCTCTTTCTCCCTCCTGACTTTTGCTGCCAATGGAGAGTTGCCATTGTATGAAAAGTCATACTCTCGATCTATATTCTTCAATGATTATATTCGACTTCAAATGCTTGACCCCATGCCAGACTTGTGGCCATTCTGGCCTCGAAACAGCCATGGCTGCATTTCAATATATTTATCCTGTTCACTATGTACAGAAGCATATGACTCAACTGAGCACAGAGTTACAGGGTCAAATGTCATCAATTCTGCAGCTGAAGCCTTACCTTCCCACAACTTGCTCCTATTACAGTGTAACAAACACAGAATCAAATCCTAAGCACTGGAAGATTGACTTGATAGCATGACCATAAAATCAGATCATTCAGGCTAACCAGGCTCACTCAAGACCTTTGTGTAAATTTTTGTCACACATAACACTGAGGACCTCATGGCAAGCTAGTCCAAAAGGCACAGGTAAGTATACCTGTGTCAAGTCACCAGCCTAGCAAACCTGGTTTAGATTAAGTGCCACACTAGACTCCCCCTGGGAAAATGGGCAAGTCCCATTGATTGCAAGGAGGTAAGCATCTCACTGTTTTCCCTTCCCTTCCAGGCTTCACTTTGCCTGGAAATTTAATTACCTGGAAATTTAATTACCACTTTACCTGGAAATTTAAATTACCCCACTCCAGGCACTTCAGAGGGCAAATCTGTTTAAAAAAGATACAAGACTGATGAGAGAGGATGATTAGGTACCACCAGCAGCTAGAAAAGTATTATCTCATTTCCAGTGGTTATCTACAGCTCTCCACGAATATATGCCACCCCGCATATCTGTGCTAAAACAAGTAGTGCACATTTCCCTTCAAGAGCTTTCAGGAAGAAATAGCTTCTTTTACAGCATCTCTCATTGGGTGGTTTCTGGAGCCTTCCCAGTAGTAGTAACAAAAAAAATCACAACGGGCGCATTTTCATCACTAATTCTTCCCCTAAGGCATTCAGAAGTATTACTCCACTGATCTGCACAGTTGAGTTTATTTCCTCATCCCCCTTTCCTCTTCATACTCTTTCCCTGTCCTCTCTACTTTTTTATATTTCCTCACCTCTTTTATATTTTTTCCTCCTTTTCACCTTCTGCTCTATAATTAATGGTAAAATAAGTCAAAGTAGCAAATTTTATGTTTCAACCTGAGCACAAGAAGATTGGTCACTCTCATCTGCTCTGAAAATGACTTTGAAAATTTTTGGTCTCACTGCCAAAATTGCCCTTTAGATGAAAAGAAGCATAAAAAGGAACAGTAGCAAGAATTGGCAAAGAGCAAGTAATAGAGGGTCACTGGTAACATGTTGCTTCTGGGTTCTGATGTGAACTTTCCCACCATCCAGAGCTGGAAGAGGACAAGACACATGTTACAGACAAAATTTAGGCTCTGCAGTACAGTTTGGCTGAATAAAAGCCCCAGATTTTATACTGTCAAACTTACCCTTTACACGTCCTTTCAAAGCAAAAAAGAGACACCTTGCACTCACAAGACCATTCCTGGAAAGAGAAAGGGTGAGAAACTTGTCCAAGAATATGTCTTGGGAGGTTTGCCCAGAAAAGGCCTGGGTGGCCATTTTAGACATGCTTGTTGTTAAAGGAAATGCCAGTCCTCCCATCCGAGAGGGGAAACAGCAGCAGGTCTCTTTATTGGCAAACACCAGTCCAAGAATAGGAAGATGCCTGGACAGGCAAAAGACTAAGCAAATAGCTCCTGGACGACCCATTAATAGAAATACATTCTCAAACCCTGCTCAGATAGTTTCAAGTAAACACACTTTTAGTAAGAACTATTTGTACAGATAATTAATAACTACAAGAAGGCCAAACACAAGCTTTTTGTAAAGTCAATTCTATTACTAAACTATATAATAACATCAATACTCTACACCATACATTAAGTTCTGCACAAGAATGGGGAAATTATATAGGTTGCCATCAGATTCCTCTCTGATTCCTCCTCATTTTTTGTAATATGTTATTGGGAATTAATGTCCTTTTTTTGTCATGTAGAGAGATTCTCATTTTGCTTTTCTAATTCCTTGTTATTACTACAGACAGGACAATTTTGCATGACAGCAATAACTGGTGATGTGTAATGCAGCAGCTGGGTCCAAAAATTTGACTTCTCTGTTTACATCCCTGGCTTTAAAGTCCCATAGTAATTGAAAAAAATAATAAAAATCCCAAACTAAATTACCATATTGAAAACTTCAACATAATCCTATTTATGCAGAAAGGTTTTTCTTACAGCATTTTGCAGAGTTCCTTCCCAGTTGCTAATATTTTAATAAAATACCTTTTTTATTATTATAGGAGTGCACTGGGAATCAGATCTGGAACTTGTCTAACTGCAGCTTAGCTGGGGGCAGGAAATACTCCACTAAGAACCTTTGCAGCTCAGGTCTTTTTACTATTTCTTTCCCTTTCAAAGTGTTTTGATTAATTTCAAGTCTTGCACCTGCTTTGATCACCCATTTTACTGATTATATTTTCTTTACCCCTGCTAGAGAGGAATCTGGAGCTTTACACTCCTCACTGACAACTCTTCCATCAAGAATGCTTTAAGAGATGAGCACTTTCCTTGGCAGCAAAAAAGCAAACCATGATGTGTTACACACAGAAAGCTGCCTCAAAAAAAAAAAAATAAATAAAAGAACTCACCTCATATTTTATCCAGCATCTTCTGAGTCTCATCAGAGGGAATTAAAAATTAAATTGGCTTCTTGAGAGGATAGATCAGACACCTTAAAGAACAGCTGCAATTTGTGTTTCTGAGAAATGAAAATTGAAAAGCAGACTAAAGTGGATATTGGGTGATTTATTAACCTCCTTTCTCCATTCTTTCTGAATGTCAGTACATTCAGCAGATTATCGATAGGACCGTTTTTAACATACGATTTTCAAAATGAAATCAAACAGACAACTCACTGTCCCTCTTCCTTCCCACCTCACACAGAGCACAAGGCTGTTCAAAGGACCTTGCAGCTCCTGTTTGCACAGCAGGAGGCATGGAGCCTGCAAACATACCCCACAAATCTCCTAGCCCTGAAGTGCAATGGGCACTAACTGCTGTAGGTGTTAGTGCTGTTTGTGCCACACGCTTGAGAGCCTTCGTGAGCCTGTCCAAACACACGAGGCTTGTTCATGAGCAAAAATATTAAATGTTACTCCTTGACATTTTGTTGTTTTAGTAATCTAACCCCACGGAAACTATATCAGGATCTATAAAACCATTCAGATACTAATCGTAGCAGATATGAATCACTATGTCAGTTAACACGAGGTGCATAAATCGCTGGCAATGTGGATTTATGCCACCAGGATGTAATTCACCAATATCAGCTCTTATATTTGATTAGAAATGTGGAATTTGAGAAGAACAGACTTACAAAGCTGGTTGCAATTTGAGTTGTGACCTTAACAAAAAAGTCAGAGACTGAGGCTCACAATCTGTCTGTGTGCTTAAGTAAGAGTTTCACGTTCACTCTGCTCAGATTAATTGCTTCTTTAACCTGCAAACGCTGACACACATGCGCAGCTGTGCACACTAATAGGAGGACAGCAGCCGAGGCTCTATCAAGTTTCATTAAATCCTGCATGCTTAATTGTCTTCATCGCTGGAAACCATCATTTTATTTAATGGCTTAAATACAACGGAAATGCCTTAATCTCATTTAAGTATTAAAGACATTTACAAGCAAACAGAAATAATTTTAAGAGAAACATCTATGACATAGCTTCATGGACTTTGTTGCCTGGTGCAGGTAGAAGATTTTTTTCTGCTCATCCCCCATGTCTGTAGCCAAACCATAGTCAGAGTCTGTGATAAAAAGTTTTTTGATTCATTCAGCTTAGCCCGGTGACACTGGCACGCCAGGTCAAGTGCACTGTAGTTGCCTATAATTGCAGATATTAATGTAGCTTTGAAAGGGATTCAAAAATTACTTTAAATGTCCACGCTGGCTAGAAACTCATTTTGTCCTCATATAAACATGCCAGATCATCCAAAAAATAATTAGCGACTAGGGTCAAAATACACAGATAACACTTGAGCTCTTTTACGGCTTATACCCATGCCAGGTTTCTCTCTCCTTGGCTCATTATCTTGTTTGTCCCCTCTCATTTGACAGGGGAGCCCACTGAATATCAGAGCACTGCATCTGCATGCTGATGCTGCCAGCCTTTCTGTTACAAAACCCAGTCTGCAGAAGCACACTAGAACTGGCAGCATTGGGGGTAAACAACGATCCCCCACCGAAGCTTTGAAAGCAAGACATTATGTCCCAGCCTTGGAAACATGCCAGATTTGGATCCCCTCCCTTCATAATAATCCCCTTGAGTGGGCAGGTTTTGCCTATCAGAGATCTGCTGAGTGTTAAAATACAGGTGGTGGCATCTTTCCCCATGCACCCCTCCACTCTACCTCTGCTGGTGTCTTTGCTCTGCTACTGCCCTCAGTGATCCCATGGGTCCCATCCTTCTGCCTAAGTCTCCTCTCAAGATCCTCCCTTTATGGATAAAACAGGTAAAACCAACACAGGCCATGCTGGCAGCAGGTGCTGAGGGGCCTGGGCTAAACTCCAGCTTCCCAAGGACACCCTGCAGGATTACAGCATCTCTTTAATCTGACTACATGTCTCTGCAGACAGTTGGCCTCAATGCTGGAGCATTGGCCCAGCTCACCCAAGGAGGGGGAATGGAGAGGCAGGTTAGATTGGGCTTCTTCCCCCAGTCTGGCTCTGCTGGCCACCAGCCACACGCATACGAAGAGCATAAACTTACATCTGCTAAAATCCCTCTTCAAGACAAGAGAACTTCTAGGACAGCCCAGAAATTTCACTTGTCAGCATGAATATGTGTGTTTTTCCAGAGAAACCAGGTAAGTCACTCAGCAAATGCTCTGTAGAAAGTCCCTGAGGCATCGCCGTGCCACGTGTCAGCCCTCCATTGCCTCTTCCCAGAGCCAGCCTTTCCCTGCAGGAAGACTTGAGAATGGAGCTGTTCTATTTCTCCCTGCTGTTAGTCAAACTTTGAAGCATCCAACCGGCACTAGTCTATCAGCCTTACAGTTATTTAAAGACAGCCTGTCAGTTTATTATTAACAGCAGCAATTACATTATAGCAGTTAAAAGAGACAACTGAGATTGGGAACATACTGCAGCTGGGGTTAGAGATCTGCTCAGGCCTAGTTTGTGCTAGAAGAGGCTTTCAAGTGTGATTATACGGGCAAAGCCTTCTTGCTGAGACCCATGATACATCGTCCCATGGTACATGGCATAGATACGAGCTCACTCTGCCAGCTGCCCATCTATAAGCTGAATGACCACAGAGCCAAACTTAGCTAATACACCCTTCCTCTCAACAATATCTATTGCCTCAGGTTTAGTGAGACACTATCATCTATCCATGTCACTTCTGGTCATTTCAGAGCTTGAGGCAGAGCATGACGACATTCATTTTTGGCACATCATTCAGGCAATACCACTCCCTCATTTCCACAGGAAAAACACCACTTCCCAAAGAGAATGTAAATAACCAGCAGAAAGCCATACTTTATTTTTGCCCATATAGCTGCATCTAAACTAGGAGTTTACATCAGCACGAAAGCATTAATAGAATTGCTCATCTAACCAACGCTGTTTTACTGTCAGCAACTCCAAATATAGGTCTGAGCCACTGGGAGAGAATCATCTTCCTAAGTAGGCACTAAAGAGTTTGTGCTTTAAATGCTTTCTGGTAGAAGGGAAACTGAGGCAGAAAGCATTTGAAAGACTCCCCCAAGGTCATGCAATACATTTATGCAAAACATGACCCTACCTGCATTTTAGTCCATGGCACAGATGCCATGGAGGTAGCAATTTAATAAGCTACGAGCCCCATCTGTTCATTATTGTCTCAACCGGAGATTGTCATCCCCAAAGCTGAGACACATTAATTGATTATATGAATGCTCCTGCTTTGACCCAATGCAAAGGCAGTCAATTTAATTTAAATCCTTGTTGGAGAAGATTTCAATTTGCTGGCTGACTTTATTCTGAGGCAGACGAGGAGCACTCACGGAAGTTTCATTGCCCATTCCCACTACGTCTGACAGAGAGCATCTGTCCACATTTTACCTCTCTGGCAATTTTTAAATCAAAACAAATAAAATGCAAAATGTGAAAAAAAGGAGACTTTTCTTCTGGTACTACCCAGACCTCTGAGCTTAACAGAATTTCAGCTAGCAGAATTTCCCAAAACTAATATCATTTCTTCAGTCTTAAGTTTTCCCTGTTCGGAAGTTTCTCTAGTTCGCTTTCCAGAATCATGTATTTTCACTTTCTCTCCATATTTAATTCTGGTAAATAAAAGAGAACACAGTTCATATTTTTCTACCAACTACCAGCGTTGGGCAGCAGTAGTAGGGTCACAGAAGCTACAGGGGTGAAAAAAAGCTTTAAAAAACTCTCCCTACATATCACATCCACTCTTCTTGACATTTTGAGTCATAAAAACTTCACTAGTGGTATGAGAGGCTGCTAAATTTTTCTCTCTTACCCTTTTCTTTCATTTTTATTAGTGGTTAGATTTTGATTACATTATGCCTGACAAAGACCAGCTGCCTCCCCAAGTAACTGTATTATCTTCAGAGGCAGCCGCAAGTAAAAGCATGATGTATGTAAAGGAGTCATAACATTTACTGCCTTTTTTTATAAACTGCATGGGAAATCAATTCACATGCACCCTTCTAGTGTTAAAATGACAGACTTGCAAGTCCTCCCTGTGCACTTTGTTCCCAGTAAAAAACCTACATCCATCAAGCAATACACTTACCCTCCAAAGCCACCCTTCCCCTCTTCTGTCCCTAAAAACAAGATCACTTTTTGAACATATGAGAATCCACTAAAGAAAGAGGGGTTTTTTCGTTAAAAGTCAGCATTAATTTTCAGATCTTCGTCCTAACAGTTACACAGTTACAGTCCTGGTTTGTTTGCACTGGGGGTATTTTTCTCTTATTCTTGAGAAAAGTGAGGGAAAAAACCAACACAAATTCTATCTCACAAACCAAAAGATATGAGCGTAGACACTTCAGATGTTTTGCTCAACTGCAGTGATTTTACCCCATGTGCAACAGTAAATGAAGTAAGCAGATGTTCACAGGCAGCTGAACAAGGTGGTTTGAAGATACCCAAATTACCACAAACAGCCCATTTCTCTTTCTCTTTCACCTTCTACCCCATCACTTGACCGTAATGGAGCTTTTGCTGTTCATCACTCTCTCTCCCCATCAATTTTCATTGCCCTCCACAGCTTCTTTATCACTTTTGTTGTCAAACCTACAACTACCTTTAGTTCAGATGTTTGCCATAAATTCTGGCAGTAGACATCTAACCCATGAAGAATATAAATAAATTGGCTAGTTTGAAGAGGTACTAGGTGATAATGTATTTTTTCATATCCACAGATAGACCTAATATCTTCACATATCTGTTTGAAAATTGACACAGCACTAATGCCCTTACTCTGACTGTCTGTCCATTCTGCATTATTTTAAGAAGCAAGCATGTTCTGGTGCAGTAAACAAGGACCAAAACACCACACAATTTAAAGCAGTCACCAGCAAAGAAAAATTTTCAGCCATTTCCTTTTTGCACACTCTGCAGGATGTTTTACTACAAACTGTAATTTTAAAAAAAAAAAATTATTTTAACTCTAAGTTTTGCTAAAAGGCAGTGAATGCTTGTGAACAGAACTATTTCCATTTTCAAAGATTGAAAAAGATAATTTTTTCTTCCAGAAAATGTAACATCAAAGGCATTGCCTCCTTTTTTTTTTTTTTTGTAATTTTGTGGTGGCCTTTTTTCTTTCTGTGGGTTTTTCAGGAGTGGTTATTTTTTCATTTTTACACTGATGTAACAGCATTGACTTCAGTGGGAGGTGAGGTTTACTCCAGTACAAACAGTAGAGAAAAATCAATCTCTTTGTGCAGACGTCTATTCCTAAAGCCAAAATGTGTGACTGGGAGCAGGCTCCAACACAGAGTGCTCCATGAGCCATGTACTCTTTCACCACGGTGTTGCAGCACAGCCAAATTGGTAGCTCATTCCCAGCTCTGCTTCATCTATCCAGACTGGAAAAACGCAACCTAGGCCCATCCCATGTGTAAAACAACATTCATGAAGAGCAAGTCTGGCTTCATGAGAGATCCGTATTTATCTGACATACCCAGGACATTTCATTTCTCCCACCAGTTGAAATTCTTGATGTTTTGAGGTAAAACCTGTTTTGTTTAAAGACTCCACAGCCACAGTCCTGCCACTCTCATCAACAGCAAGACACAGTGTTATTTTCAGCTACAACCTGAAAGTACAGCCTCAGTTAACAACAGGAGATAAGTAAATCTCTAACTGCTGAAAAATCTGGAGAAACATGACCCAAGTAACACCACCTCAACTCCTAGAGGTCAAATAAACAGGGTTTTTTGCAAAAATGTTTCAGCTACCAATTTTATTTTTTTTTGAGGGGCACAGGGAAGAACTGGAAGAATGGAGGGGGATGCTCAGCTCATTTGCTGGCACTGTGGTACTCCTAGGACAGAGAAAGACAAACTCCTAAAAATGCACCAGCTGAAGGACAGCGTAGAGTCAGATACACATGCTCATGGAGGTCCCTTCCCCTTTCACCTCGCAGTTACCCTGACCAAAAAAACCAGGTAAGGCAATTCCTGGCTGCCACAGAGACTTCCCACCAGGGCAGGAGACCTGTGAGAGCACCAGCCCCGTCCCCCACAGCCTTCATAGCCCCCATCGTCCAACAAGGGTTCCCAGCCCACGTAGTTACGCC